GAAATGACTGATATTTCTGCTCGTGAATACAAGTGAGAGAACTTTTTTTTTTTTTTGGAGCGTGAACAGAAATGCTGGAAATTGACTTTTTGGAAAGGGTTGGGCTGGAATTTGGGGAAGTGAAGTAGAGAGGATGAGGAGGAGGAGGAGATGGGATGATTGTATGGAGGGAATAAAAGATAAAGAGGAGGTGGGAATGGAAAGGTATGAGAGGGATAGAAGGAAGTTGGACTACGAAAGACTTAATTAATAGGATCTGTATCATGTAACTTTCTGTTGATTTGGACCAGTGATCTTCTGTATTTAAAAATATCAAAAGTTTCTGTAGACAAAGATGCGTATCCCATTGTTAACAATGATGAACATATTTGTAATACCGCAGCAGCAACATTTAAAAATATATCCATAATTTGAAGAGGACACTTATGATGACATTTCGGTCCGTCCTGGACTTGTACATAGTCACGACCGAGAGAGAAAAAGATAGGAAACAAAAAGAGAGATCTAGTGCCGAAACGTCGTCTACAGCTCCCTTTACCACATTGTGTGTTTCTTTTAAATTGACAAAGATATGCACCATTCAGTCTCTTTTGCCTGTAATATTTAGTAACAGAATATCTGCAATCTTCTTAGATCAATGAACAAAAATTTTGACAGATAATATATATATTTATTTTTGTTTATATTTTGTAAGTTATGGCGTTGAACATCTTATTCTAGAAAATATCTGTGGTACAAGAGTGGTATACAATATCGACAAGATAAAATTAGACACATGTGCAACATCTGGATATCTTTATTGTAGACGTTTCGCCATCCAGTGGCTTTATCAATACAGATTCTAGGACATAACTTGAAGACAGTAGAACTATATACAAAAGATGAGGGACTGAAGAAAATATCTACCTATGATAGATCTTCCAAGCAGATCCGTAACATTCCACAGACTGCTGGAAACATTCACCAGACAAGCTTTTGTCTATTGAGGAGTGAGTCAACTTCCAGAAGGTCTAGGTATCCTGTGTGAAGGATCCATTTCTAGATCTTTTATTATTCTGATTTAGTGTTTATTTTACCATCGTGTGGGTATTTTATACAATTCATCTCCATTGTTTTCAGACACTGCAGTAGAAATGGATCCTTCACAGAGAAAATGCCTAGACAAACTGGAAGCATTCAGCAGACTAGCTGGTAACATTCAATGGAGAGGTCTCCAGCTTTCAACAGATAGGGTTCATAAATTCCAGTTGTTTAAGGCTTGTAATCTGAGTACTGTGTCAGTTCATGACATTTAGATCAGCAGTATAAAACACATTGCACAAACAACGTCGCCTCACAATGGCTTGCTGACTGCGTAAACTCAAACTTTTTTGTAAACCGCTTCCACAAACGTTAAATTCTTTTCTATATGTATTTTGGCTCACCCAGCAGTTGTAGAATAAAATTTAAATTTAACTGAAAAGTCCGTATATATTCTGTCGCGGTTGAACGACTGAATTAATGAAAAAATATTTAAATTTTAACTGTTGTTTGTATAAATTGTTAAAGGCAACTGTTGTGCAACAGTTAATCTAGCCTACCCATTTTCTTATTACACAGGGCACATGGCGTGATAAATTTGTCTCTAAAACCTCATACCAGACATACATCTATGTTCTCAAATAAAATGGTTATGATCATAATTTTTTAAAGGGTGGACCGGTAAGCCAGCGTAAAGCCTCGGTCAAATAACCTGAAGGTCCAGCTGTGGGTCATCATATGACTAAGACCCTCGTCAGGAAACACCTGTCGTCTTTCCTGACAAATCTAATACCTACATTCACTGAAGTTACCATCCTTATTTCTCTATACTTGTTAGGTCGTCTGCGTCTGGACTTCATTAATCATGTATTTTCTATTATCTTGGTTATGAAGAACCTTCACAGTGGTATTTTTTTTAAATGTGTAGTCATGTATGTTGACTGAGAGGTAACAATACATGTTACCTCTCAGTCAACTCAGAAATTGTTTTATATGTTAACATGCATCTGTTAAATCTTGAAAGATTTTCATAGTTGTTATAATGGCTGAGTTAATGTGAAAATGGGATATGCATACTATGGGATGAGTGAAGGAGAATAGTGTCGTAATTTTCACTGGTAACCTGTAGCTAGCAAGAGTTTGAATCTTTGAATATAATAGAATTTTACCTGTAAGACCCAGTTTTTCCCATTATGAAACATGTAAACAGAGGTGGCTAAAACATATTCTGATAAATTCGACACATGTAAAACACCTGGGTATCTTTATTAAGGAAACGTTTCGCCACACAGTGGCTTCATCAATCCTATATAGAGAATGGTGAAGCCACTGTGTGACGAAACGTTTCCTTAATAACGATACAATCTTCATAAAGATTACAATCTTTTCAAGATTGATGGACTTATTTCATCAACTCCAGGCTGAGGGACTGATTACCTCAAACTCCTGATCTTCACAATTCTCCTTTGTATAGGACTGATGAAGCAACTGTGTGGCGAACAGTGTCTCACTGATCAATGTGTCGGTTCTCTGAACCATTTATCTACAAAATATATTCTATTTTATTACTTATTTGATTTTAGGGTATGGTTATATATTGTAGAAAAATTAGATGATGCACGTCATAGTTAAGATCAAATTTCAGTAATATATTTATGAAGCAGCACCAAATTAATTGGATACATTTAGGAAGAATATTATATAGGACATTTCTATTTCATTTGCTTAGGGTCACAAGGCGTAGGATTTACTGACGCTTTAAAAGTAATAATTAATTATTTTTAACCTGTTGGAGGATAACGCAAGTTAAGAAATTCTTAGTGAGGCTGAAGACACCGAGAAAGCAGTATTAAAGTATTTGGCTGACTTATCGAGAAAGGGACGTGCTTTCCAGTGCTCTAAATAAAGTGTAAATTTGACAGTGATTCTATGGCTGCTGGTGAGTTTGACTGCCATGTAGTATGTAGTCTGTCCTAGGTACAGTTTCCAGAATAGATTTTTTTTTTTTAAGAAACCAATCGAGATTTTATCTTTAAAAACTCTTTCGCACTGAGTGAAAACAGCCAGGTAGGTAGACTGGCTTCCGTGTGATTGTATCATGCATGTAGGTAGAGCTAGCTTCCTTATGGACACATGGTCAGGTAGAATGTCTTGGTTTCTTATTCAGGTAGATTTAGAAACATAGGCAGGAACATTTTATATTACTGTATCATTTCTCTTCCTATTCCTGTGTCATTCCCTATTCCATTGTTTCCTTTCAACCAGTTGCTTAATGAGAAATTGTGTTGCAGACAATGCGCATCTCATCCGACTTTTATTCTTTGTTCTCTGGAAGGGTAGAAAACCCGGCTCACATAAATATATTATATAAAATGGATAAATGTTCATAATGCAAACTTGCAGAGCTTTGGATGCGACTGATACCCTGAAGACCAGAATACAGCCAACGACTTTTCTTGATAAGAGATTTTTAGCAGCAGAATAGTTTTCGAGATTTTATTCGATGGTATTCTTAACGTTGTTAAGAACACCATCAAGTGTTAATCAATATCAGTTTTGAGAGCTGAATTAAGAGGATGATCGACTTCAATCCCATTACGAACAATTGAAGATTCTCTAGTATAGCAATATTTCAAGCACTGACATTGTTTGCCCGTTCTGTAGCTTGTTAAGAAATACAAGCTCAAGTGATACAGCCAGTGAAGAAAGAGAACAGATTATAAACCACGGTACGGGAGGGGATTGAACTCGTAGCTAATTGTTTGCATTCCTGTCATTACGATTTCGTGAGTCATGATGACGGCTTTGAGGGAATTTGAGCTAGAGTTCGTCACGGCAACGCTGGCGGGAGATTCATCTATAAAAATTGCATTTGTGGTCACAGTGGTACCTATGATAACTTTCCTATGGTATATATATATATATATATATATATATATATATATATATATATATATATATATATATATATATATATATATATATATATATATATATATTGTTGGATAAATCTTATTTTAACCAGCTGACCCAGTGGCTAACGCGTCGGTTTGTAGTTCCATCCCCGCCCTTGCCTTGGTTTATTTGCAGTCGTGTCATTACGATTTCTTGTGTCGAGAACAGCTTTTCTATCACATTTGCAGTTATCATAATGTTTTCAAGTCGTGTAAAAAAAAGAGCAGATATTCATCTATAACGAGAACACCCAAAAACACTGAGGCAGGGATGGGGTGACCCGAGAAAGATGTAACACTTTCATCACTCAATTCATCACTGTCTTGCTAGAGGCGTGCCTATACTGCAGTTCAAAAACTTAAACTGCAACATATCTCCACCCTTCCTTAGCTGTGAACCCCAGTAAGTTAACTTCACATTAAGCAACTGATTGAAAGAAAACAATGCCAACCTTCCCACTGAGATGCTCTCCCCATTCCAATTCATATTTGTTTTAAAGTTGTCAGAACAATCAAGTAACAAACCACAATTATGTCATGCAATGAAAATGAAAGATAAAAATGAGTCAATAATTAAAAATAAATGAAGTTCTTTTTTTTCGTATTCAGAATTAAACAGTTTATTTTTCATGGCTGTTTGTATTTCTTGTACAAAAAATTAAGGAGGTTCAAAGCGATTTCTTGAGTTCCTCAATTGGGCAGTGGAGTGTAAAAACCTTAAGAACATAAGAAAGAAGGAACAATGCAGCAGGCCTACAGGCCCATGTAAAGCAGGTCCAATTCTCCCACCGGCTTAAGCCAATGCCTAAACTTAGTCAGGTCAGTCACATTCACTGAAGCGAGGAGCACGGCATCTGACCCAGTAGCACAAGCTAGTCAGGTCCAATTCACACTCACCCACACCCACTCATGTATTTATCTAACGTTAGCGCAAGACAGGATAGGTTCGCTGCCACTCAGTGTATAAATATTTTCCTTGAAACCATCATAAATGCAAGTGGCTGTTGCTCTCTTGGGCTCCTACAGGTCTTCAGGGACAACGGGAACGCTGTGCTCCTGTCCCCGGCGCTGATGGACCTCACGCCAGAGGCCATGTCTCAGCTCCTCAAGGAACCTCTGAGGATCACCTCGGAGACCGTCATCTTTAAGGCTCTCGTTAAATGGTAAATAAATAAGTGTAGTGAATCCTCTCTCTCTCTCTCTTTTACCTGTATTGTGTCTTGTTTTCTCTATCTGTACTGTCTCAAATTTTCCTGAACTGTCTCTTTTTCATGAACTGTCTCTCTTACTCCCCCATTTTGTTTTTATTCCCCTTTCTTCCTCAAACCCTCTTCATCATCTTTTTCTCTCTCTATCTTCTTTTTCTAGTTATCAGATGATTCATATTCTTCTAGGCTCTATTCTTTTGCAATTACGTTATGCTTTTGCTTATAATACTAAGCAGTTCTGTAGTGCCTTGGGAAAATATCTTCCAACACCTTGAAAATAAAATAGTAGTCTTCATGACTCTTACAGCTGGAAATTTTATTGAAATCACAATCTTCAAGAAATATAAATAATTTTAACCATAACTCAACGCTACAGATAATGCCTTGTCAAGAATGAACTGCAACACAAGTCTTTCCAAGTTATGGCAAAAAATTCTGAGCTGGATATTTGAGCTACTTTTAATTTATTTTTAACTTTTAGTGGAGATGGGGAGGGGAAGTGCAAACTTAAAAGTGTGAAGTTTATATACGTGCAAATCTAATACACCTCTAATAGTTTCTGCTTTGCAGACGAAAATATGATTTTCGACTAAAGCCTCGTCATTTCCCATGAAAAAGGCGTACGGCTCACAGTCGCGAAGAAAAAAACATGTTGCAGGACAGCTTTTATTGGGAGAAAGTTTAGCTCTGTGTAGAACTGTAACAAGTCATGATATAAGCTCTACATAGATCGAACCGTTGTCTCAATAAAAGCTTTTACTGGAACCAGTCATTTCCTTATCGTTCTGAATAAGCAGCCGTTGTCATTGTTCTAGCCATATTTCAACTATCTAAAAAAATTTATGTTCGAGGGATCAGGGTTTATAAGTCAGAGTCTTGATTTTCCCAGTCCCAGGTAAAACATTCTACCTTTGTATAAAATATTCTAAGCATTTTTGTAAAGCAAGGGCTCAAATAAACATAACTGTAAAACGTTTAGACAAAGTGACAAATCTGTACATATAACCATTATCCTCACTGCGATTATTCTCCAATGAAACAATCAGCGTTTATTTACCCTAATCATTTCTAGTAATAAAGGGTATGTTATTATACTTTCCACATCTTTTGCTAAATTATGAAATAAATATGCGAATTGTTCTCACGTATATGACCTACACAGGCAAGAAAAGTGAGTTACTTATTTACATTTCAGGGGTCAAGCTCAGCTGAAGCTCCAAGGGAAGCCCCTGAAACCGTCGGCCCTCCGCCAAGAAATTACACACTTCCTACCTCTGATACGCTTTTTTACCATGACCTCCGACGAGTTTGTGCAGAACGTGCTGACCACCGATGTGCTGACGCCGGAGGAGAATGTGTATGTGCTGAAACAAATAGCCAAGCCGCAGAGCGATCCGGGACACCATTCCCCTTTGGGCAAATCGCTGCAGATCAACACCAGCAGGGAGAGCAGAGCCTCACTCATCACGAAGGTGAGGGTCACGTCACAACGGGTAAACACCGCTACCTCTCTAATTTATAGCCAGTGCGATGAGAGCTTCACAAGCTTACCATATTCCATCATCATTAAGAAAAGTATGTGGGTAGGACTGCAGTTTTGTATATCAAAGTGCGCTTTGACCGTGTAGAACATTTAGTGCACTTGGCAGCAAAAATAAATACAACACATAAGAAAAACAGAAGTTACTACCATGAATGACGCACAGAACACAAATGAGTACTGTTAGACCAAGTTAAAATAATCAGCATCGGTTAAAATTCCATAAAAGTGTTAACATCAAAAGACTGAAGAATTTTCCCAAGATGTGAAAGATATTCGCCGGTAGATTCCTGTTTAATTTGTTTCCTGTATGCAGGGCCCACTGGGCCTGGGAATTATGCAAATATAACTTGCATAATAACTAAGTAGCACTTCTGTCTTGCAATTAGTAAACAAACCACTCCACGGGCGGGGACAGAACCCGCGATCAGAGAGTCACAAAACTCCAGACTGACGCGCTAGCCACTGGGCCAGCTGGCTGGCGGGTTATATCCCCGCCCGTGGCATGGTTTGTTTGCAATCGTGTCATTACGACTTCGTGTCATGTTGACGGCTTTGAGAGGACATGAGCTAGAGCTAGTCACGGCGACGCTGGCAGGAGATTCGTCTGTAAAAACTTGCATTTGTGGTCACAATGGTGCCTATGCTTACCTTCCTATGGTGTATAAATATACCTAGTTGGACAACTCTCCTTGTAGCCAACTGGCCCAGTGGCAAGCGCGACGGTCCGTAGTTTTGTGACTCTGATCGCGGGTTCTATCCCCGCCCGTGGTATGGTTTGTTTCAATCGTGTCTTTACGATTTCGTGAGTCTTGCAATTAGAAGACAGAGGATGAAGGATAGATCCTTTACTACTACTTTCACTGAATGATCCATGCAAGCTTAGCGCTTTACATAAATAAATAAAACGATAAAAATAAGTCTTGCCACAGTTTCCATCTTTCTTCATCCGAGATTGCAGACTCAAGGCACAAGCTCTCCTCAACAAACCGCCCATGGAACAGCCCTCTAAGCAGTACATAGTGCTCCCATGTGGTGATGTTGCCACGAATACTCGCCGGGCACTTGCTAAAAGTAACATCAACGTTTCCACCATAAACACATCATCTATCAAAGACCTCACTACGAAACGCAGCCCCACACGTCTAACTTCCACAGCAGGCGTCTAAACTATCCCCTGTGAATTCTGTTCCAAGAAATATGTAGGCGAGACAGGCAGAGATCTTCCATGAGGAAGTGGAACAGAATTCTTCCTCCGTAAGCCATGCGTGTCGTAAGAGGCGACTAAAATGCCGGGAGCAAGGGGCTAGTAATTCCTCCTGTAAACATTACTAAAGTTATAAAGAGAAACTTTTGTTTTTCTTTTTGGGCTACCCTGCCTTGGTGGGATACGGCCGGTTTGTTGAAAGAAGATATATATATATATATATATATATATATATATATATATATATATATATATATATATATATATATATATGACTCACGGGCG